ATCACAGCTCCTTCAGCCATAGTAAAGCTAAATGTGGAATTAACATAGGACGTCCCATCACTCCACTGACCTGGAGAAGACACAAGCAGCATAACTTTACCAAGAGCAGTCAGGCACAAAACACATGATAAGATGTACACAGGTTTGCTGTGTACAGATTTGGTCCCCACCTCCCTATAAAAAGAATAAATATCATAGTAGTGGATGAGATACATACAGTTGTGGATTAGGAGTTTGTGGGGTCTTGGACCACAGCAAGAAAGGGACCCCTCCTGCCACCATCTCTCCCCCGCCAGGGAAATGGGGTCTTATGTCCTATATGGACTCCCCAAATCCTATCACTAATTCAGACTTTGACTCTAGCTGAGGCACTCAATCAGGGCTGAATTACCCAATAGGCAGACTAAGTACGTGCTTAGGGCACCAGCAAAGAGATTTTACAGTACAGTATTGTTTTTATTTTGAATTACATATGGGGGAGCACCATAATCTTCTCAGTGCTTAGGGCCTCTACAGGTCTTGATCCAGCCCTGCACTCAGTAGCTACAGAGATGTGGGCAGGATTTGTCTCTAATTAATTAGGAAACTTTGTTTCATTGTAAAGAGAGACTCCAATCATTGGGCCAGATGTCATAAGACCTGGCTTTAAGTCTTTTCTCTACAGTTACCTTTGTTTTTTTGGGAGAAGTTTATCTGCTTGATTTTTACATGAAGTGGCCATTAAACACCAATGACTAAATGTCAAATGATGATAAATTAACATCAGGTCAGGATTCCGATTCCATTTCCAGAGGGGTTTTTTGTGAGTCTCCTGAAAAGTTTGCAAAACAAATCAAGTAAATGTGGGAGGGCAGCAGATTAATGTAACAAACAAGCCAACAATATGTAATATTAATAGTGTGGTAACAAATTAATTTTAAGTACCAAAATTTATTAAAGGACATTTTTATTCACTAAAAATATACAATATTGGTAATCTTACTTTTAAAGAAACATTGTCAAGTAGGGTTCATCTTTGATAAACCAGTTATTTTTATATTGAAATATTGAAATATTTTTAGAAAAACTAGTTACTATCAAAATTAACAACCTAACCTGAAAACACAAAATCATCTCTAAGAAAGTTTACACAAAACAACAAAATGGCAGAGTGGTAAATAATGAAAAAAACAGGTCACTGATACAGAGCAATCTGGCTTACTTTGTAAAATGGGTGCAAACAAACTATGCACTGTAATACAGCTAAATGTAAACCTATGTATCTAGGAACAATGAATGTCGGTCATACTTACACAATGGAGGACTTTATCCTAGCAAGCAATGACTCTGACAAACATCAAGGTGTTCTGGTTTTTATCGGCTCCAAGTATGGTACCGTAGCCAAATAGGCTCCAGATGCATAACAAGGGGAATCCTGAGTAGCAGAGAGGTTATTTTACCTCTGTATTTGGGAATGGTGCAACCACTGCCAGAATACTGTCTCCAATTCTGGTGTCCAGAGTTCAAGAAAATGGTGATTAAATTGCAAATGGTTCAAAGCAGAGTCATGAGAATGATTAAGGGTTAGAAAACATACCTTATAGTGTGCGTGCCAACAAGAGGTGCAAATGGCCATACCTGTGAACACTCAGGTAAATAAAACCTCTGGCAGCTCTCCCAGCATTAACCTTGGAAAAACCCATTAGACCTGCAGGCTGCTTATTGCCCACTCCTGGATAGGGAGAATGTGCCTCCATGGCCATCAATTGTTGCAAACTTCTCATTACAGGGTAAAGTTTATCCTGTGCAGAGACTTGCACAAAATCCTACTTGAGAACTTAAGTGTTGCATATGTCTTATGAGGGGTTCTCTGCAAGAGGGGTGAATTTCACCCAAAATAATTAGTCTCCCTGTTTCTCTTCCAAACTGTCTTTGAGAGTTCAAAGACAATTCAACTATTAACTCTAAAGAGTGCAAAAAACAACAACACAGGAGTCAATGGTGATAATTAGAAAGCAACTAAAGGAGCAATTAGATCAACAAAAAATATGGAAACCTCTGCTGTAGACTATAAAATGTCAATTAAAAGTTGTACATCAAGACCCCAACTCTACAATCCACATAGACCTTTGCACTGCCTGTTTTTGCAATGTTCTACCTTAGGGACACACACGCCTGGTGTTCACCTGCCTTGGGCTGGTGGGAGTTAAGTAACAAACGAAGAGATTGGCAGTATGAAGAAGTTACTCACTTTTGTGCAGTAATGATGGTTCTTCGAGATGTGTGTCCCCGTGGGTGCTCCACTGTTGGTGTTGGGCTGGCACCGCAGCTCAGAGTTTTGATGAGCAGTCATCAGCCAGACCGCACATGTGTGGCTTGCGCCTCAGGCTGTTCACGCCTCTTGGTCTCTTGCGTGGTCCAGCTCCCGCCAGTTCCTCAAGTCCGCCCCGGTATCTGGAAGATATAATAGAGAATCTGAAGTGGGGAGGAGGGTGGGCAGTGCAGCACCCACCAGGGCACACATCTCGAAGAACCACCATTACTGCACGAAGGTGAGTAACTTCCTCTTCTTCTTTGAGTAGTGTCCCCATGGGTGCTCCACTGTTGGTGAATATGTAGCAAGACTAATAGAAGGTGGATCTTGGATTCATGGTCTGAATATGGTAGATAGGACTGTGGAGGCCACAGCTGTATCTTGTGCCTGAGAGTGCAAAATTGCATAATGTCTCATGAAGGTATCGTTGGTGGACCGTGTCGCCACCTGAAAATACCTTTACGGGGAACCCCATGTAGAAATGTTGTTGATGTTGCCATAGCCGTGGTAGAATGTGCTCTTGGGATCTGAGGCAGAGGTTGTTTCTTAGAGTATAACACTGCTTAATGCATGCTACCACGAGGTTGGAAATCCTCTGTGATGATAGGGGTTTCCCTTTTGTACGCTCAGAAATTGAGACAAATAAACGAACCAATTTACGAAAGGGTTTGGTTCTGTCTATGTAAAATGCTAACGCTCTGCGCACATCGAGGAGATGAGACTTAGCCTCGGCTGTCATTTGGTGCGGTTTTGGGTAGAAGATGGGAAGCATGATTGGTTCATTAAGGTGAAAATCAGAATATATTTTGGGAATGAAGGATGGGTGAGGACGTAGAACATGCCTGTCTTTACTGAAGATGGTGTATGGTGGAGTCGCCATTAGGGCTGCCAACTTGCTTACGCTGCGGGCAGAAGTGATTGCTAATAGAAAAATCACCTTCAGTGACATCATATGCAAAGAACAGTTAGCGAAAGGTTCAAAGGGGGCGTGGATTAAAGTGTTCAACACCATTTCCAAGTTCCACAAAGGCAGTGGTCGTCTGTGTAGTGGGTATAGGTTAGCAAGACCCTGTAAGAACCTCCTTGTAGTGGGGTGCGCAAAGACCTTTTATAGATTGATGAAAGACAGTAATGGCAGCCAAGTGCACCTTTACTGATGTGAAGGCAAGGCTGGAGTCTGTAAGAGATAAAGTGTAGTCCAGAATATTTTCCAAGGATGCTGAAGTTGGTTCTAGATTATAATCAGAACACCAATGTCAGAATCTACACCATTTGTGCAGGTAAGTGACTCGGGTAGATTGGTTTCTGCTGTTTAAGAGAACCTCCTTTACGCACTGTGAACATAGTAATTCTCCTTGGCGGAACCAAGAAGGAACCATGCTGTCAGTTTCAGGATGTGTGGCCGAGGGGAAAGTAGGGTTCCTGACCTCTGAGTCAGAAGATAGTGATGTAGAGTAAAATGGTAGGGAGGTCGAGGAGACATTCAATAGAGGTAGGGAAACTATGCCTGTCATGGCCAGAATGGTGCTATGAGTATTACCGTGGCTCTGTCCTTGCGGATCTTCTCCAGGACTCTGAAGTTGAGAAGAATGGGAGGAAATATGTATAGAAGAGGTCCCCTCCAGGATCAGAGAAAGGCATCTCCCAGGGATCCATGTCCGATGCCTGCTCTGGAGCAGTACTGATGACATTTCCTGTTTCTGCTTGAGGCAAAAAGGTCTATTCCTCTCTATTTGGAGGAGGAGATACCCGCCTGTGCACTTGTCCTTTTTGATGGGAGTAAACCGTGGCAATTCAGTGTTGTAGGCATCAAAAGTGTAGGTGTGCACGAGTAACTACATATGTTGTAGCGGCCATATGACCCATTAGCTGAAGGCATGTGAGAATAGGGACCGTAGGACTCAGGGTGATAGTGGTAATAAGGTCTTGGATGGCTTGGAACCTCTGGGAGGGTAAGTAGGCTCTTTTAGCCACAGCGTCCAATTGGGCACCTATAAACTATATTTTGTGTGGGTGTCAAAGTCGACTTCTGTATATTGAGTAACAGGCCTAGAAGCTCAAATACCTTTTTTGTTGTAGAAATCATGCAAAGTGTTTCCTTTTCCAATGTGCCTTTGACAAGGTAATCATCCAGGTAAGGAAATACAATGAAGTGGTGTCTGTGTGGGTATGCTGCCACAACAGCCAGGGTCTTTGAGAAGACTCTGGGTGCAGAAGACCAAACGGAAGCACTCAATACTGGTAATGCTCTAGTCCCACTGTAAAACGAAGGAAGCACCTGTGTGTTGGGTGAATCATTGTGTAGAAATATGTCTTGCAGGTTGAGGGCCACAAACTAGTCTCCTTTGTCTAATGCCAGAATTATAGTCATCAGAGTAACCATTTTTAATCTTTGCTTGCGAAGATAATGGTTCAATCTGCGTAAGTCTAAGATAGGCCTCCATCCTCCTGTCTTTTTGGGGGTGAGGAAGTATTGTGAGTAAAATCATCTGCCCCAAAAATCTCTGGGGATGGTCTCTATTGCCCTGAGGTTGAGGAGGGATTGAACCTCTTGTCTGAGAAGGCTCTCATGAGAGGGGTCCCTGAAAAGGGATAGGGAAGTTGGGGAAGTTGGAGGTAGTTTGGTAAAGGGGACGGTATACCCTGCGGTGATTATCTTGATGACCCATCAGTCCGAGGTGATGGCCTTCCAGTGCTGTTGAAAGGGTTTCAGGCGGTGATGGAAGAGTGGACCGACGTGTGATGACTAGTGAGAGATGGGAAGATTTTGCTGGACCTCGACCAACAAGTCAAACCTGCTGCTTTCCATTCTGACTATTGGTGGTGCAGTTGTTCTGTTGATGCTTCCATTGTGGTTTCTGTCTGGTTTTGGGCTGGTCAAAGCCTGGTTGGTGGTATTTTTGGTACGGGAAGGATTGTTTTTTTAGTATGGGGGTGTAGCGTTTGCAATGATAGGGAGGTGTGTACATTCCTAATGTCTGTAAAGTTGTCCTTGAGTCCTTACTGGAATGCCCTTGAGTCCTTGACATCATCAGTCTTTTCAGCAAAAAGCTTTAATTTGTCAAAGGGAAGTTCCTCTACCTTTGACTGTAACTCCCTAGGAACTCCGGCAGATTGTAGCCATGATGTCCTTCTCATTACCACAGATGTAGCCATGGCTCTAGCTGCTCTTTCGGCCACGTCCAGAGCTATCTGTAGTGATATCCTAGAAGAAGTGGAGCCCTCTTGGACAATCGACTTTAGTATTGGACTCTCTGCATCTGGCAGATGTTCCATGAGGGCGGATAATTTTGAATAATTGTCAAAATTGAGATTAGACAAAAGTGCTGCATTAGCTATTCTGAGAAGGAGTGTGGCGGAGGAATAGAGTTTCCTACCAAAGAGGTCCATGCACTTGTTGTCCCTGTCATTGCTGGTTTTATGTTGAGGAAGCTTAGATCGGTGCTGAGCGGCATCGACAGCCAACAAGTTGGGTTGTGGTTGTACACATAGGAAGTCAGCCCCTTTCTGGGGGGACAAAGTACCTCTTTTCAGCCCTCTTATTAGTGGGGGGGGGGCACGGAAGCAGGAGTCTGCCATATGTTGTCCGCCGACTCCATAAAAGCCTCATCTATTGGTATAGCAATTTTGCCCCTTTGGGAGGGCTGCAAATTTTTAAGGAGCCTGTGTTATTTTTGTGGCACCTCTGATAACTGAACGTCCTGTGTTGCAGCGACTCTCTTGAATAAGTCCTGGAATTGCCTGAGATCGTCAGGTGGAGACTGGTCCCCAGGTACGACAACCTCATCAGGAGATGATGAGGACTGACCCGTTGGAGAGACATCAGGTGGCTGTTCATCTATTTCTGAGAGGTGTGTCTCTTCTGGTTCTGAATACTGAGTTGTGGACTGGGGTCCTGGGGATGCAGGTGGTAATTGTTGAGCATAGTCCTGTTTAGGGGAAGCTGAAGATACTCAAGATCTGGGATAGTTTCAGCTTTGCATGTAGTGATCCCTTTGTTGATGATGGCTTTGAACAGAGTCGTGCCGAATAAAGTCAGCAGTGAACTGGGCTGTATCGACTGTATGGGGAAGAGTGTCTAGAAGAGACCGTATCTATAGTATACTCGTTTGTGTCTGTAGGGTGAAGGTGCAGGGGAGTATGATGCATACACCCAATATGGTGAAGGGGAAAGGTCATATCTAGACATGTATCTGCCATGTTGATACGCCCTCTCTCTATCTTCTCTGGTCAAGTATGGTGAGTGCGGTGGAGAAGATGGTGCTGGAGAGAAAGATAAAGGCTCCGTGATTAATTGTGCCTTAGGGTCAGACTTGTGAGATGCTTTCTTTAGGATTGGAGGTGTTGAAGGGCTGTATGGAGGTGACAAATGACCCGTTGATCTTGTGGGGGATGAAAGCAGCACCGAGCTCTCCTGTGCCGATGGTGACCATGCCGAGTCTGACCGTGCGGATGCAGCTGGTGCCAATGTGGTCAGTGCTGGGTGTGCTGACGCCACTGATGCCAGTGGCAATGTGACCCTCAGTGCGCTGGGCACGATTGCAGACAGTGCCTGGTCGGCTGGTGCCGAGGAAGTCGGTGCCAATGTTGGTGCCAGTAGGTGCTTCGGCTTCGGCACCGATGGTGATGGCACCAATGTGTTTGGTGCAGTCACCGGCAGCCAAGCAATGGACAGTTACGGCAGTTGATGACACCAAAATAGGTTTTTTGCCATGATTTTGGCTCTGAAGCCGATTTTTACCTCGGCAAAGTAGTGCCAGAGATGTCTGGTTATACTCACTCTATGCGAAGATAGGGACCGAGCTGGAGATGGCCGTTTTCAGGCTGGGACAGCCAGTGGTGATGCAGCTCTCCTTTTCTGTGATGAAGGAGACTGCCGGATTGAGGCTGGCTTCAACATTTCTGCTGGTTGTAAGGCTT